TTGAAAGTAATCCTGATGAAACAGCATGACCTCTTTTACTTTCTTCAGTCTGTTTTAATACCTTCATTTAAGTGAGATTTGACTTATATATTCAATCTTTCTCAAAAATGTGTGATTTCCCCCATGACCACCCTTGCTACCCCTCCCAGTCCTTATGATTAAACAGAATGCCTTATTCTGCCTTGGTATAATTTGTATAATAAATTAGACATTTCACTATAGATTCCTAAATGATAGTTGAGACAGTTAGCAAGTTCTACTTCTTATTGCACAACTAATTTTTAACCTCAAATAACTCCTGGGTGTATATGTTAGGCTTTGATTTTTCCTTTTTCTTTTAATAAAATGTTCTATATAATTCTCCTCCCTATATAATGACAACAGTTTTGTTTCTTTTCTGTCCCATACAATGTAAGTCAGTGTCCCACCAGTGACCACATCCCTGTATCAAAGACATTCACGTGGGAGTTACTCATTTACAACTCAGTTAGATCCACTGAAAGTCTCAACATGGGTTTCTTCTGTGGGCCCATAGATGACAGGGCCATGTGCAGACCTCTCGGGTGGGCTCTCCATGGAGGTGTGATAATCAAGTTGCTGTCCTTGGCTTCCAATGCCTGCCTTCCACTGGTTTCTCAAGTATTTTGTCTTCAGGGACTCAATCAACAGCAAAGAAAACTAAGACAGAAAAAGGTCTTAACGGAGCTAGTTGCCCTTAAAGAAGCAGAGAGCTCAGATAAGTGTTTGACAATGTCCTTTTCCACTTCTCTCTGTAGGATGTGATTTACTGTGTTCACAACAGATCTCGTATGAATTGTGCACCAGAAATTCACAACTCTTAAAACACAAATTCTTTCCGTTTTATGCAAGCAGCTTGGAAACTTCTGTTGCTAAACCCACTGTAGCTTAGAGCTCCTATTGTCCATCTCTTTATATGCAAAAATGCTGCTCTTCCTCAGGTGTATAACAGAAGCCAGGAAAGAATCCCCTTGGGATGAGGGCAGCAGCCTTCTGTCTTCCTGGTGAACTGGGATGTGTCCTTTCTGGGGAGCAAGTTGCTTTCAAAAGAGCAAGATACATCCTGAGCAAGAGCAGTGCATACATTCTCTGAGCATCATGAAAAGCAAATGTTCTGCATAATCTGATACAAACATATCACAGTGTCACAGAATGTTTGCTTAAATTCTTGATATTTCAAGGCTTTTCACAGTACATATTTGCACGACCAAAGAGTATCTGGACCATGATCTTGGCTGGGTTTCACACTGTTGGTTTAATTTCAGTATTAATCTTGTTTGTTGTAGGCCTTTATTTAACTATTGTCTGCCAAGCTCTGAGGAAAAAGTGAAAAGTTGAAATAAACTCGCCCTTTGGCTTAGCCCCTTTGTGGTGCTTGCCTCTCCCACCTGTGCTAAGCAAGGGTGTGGGCTCTATTGTCCTGAGAAGTCCAAGCTGTGCAGCTGAACAGAGATTGCTATCTCTGGCAAAGGATCCAGAGCTTCATTGTTCAGTGGGTAGAAATTCTACCTGCTCAGAAGCAGTAATTTGCTTTCATGGCCTGGTTGGCAGAAAACTTAGTTTCAGAAAGGTTTATTCTTAGAGAATAGATGAAGGAGAACGTAAGAGGTAGATGCAGACCTGCAGAGATCTGACCTCCCTTAGATGACTGCTTTGCATCCGTATTCCTACAGCAGTGAGTGCTTTGCTTTCAGCCATGCTGCTCTTTGTCCTGTGCTGCCCAGAGGAGCACAGCTGCCTTATTTAGCTCATTTAAACTTTTCCCAGTAAATCAGCTGCTGTTGCTCTTCTTTCTGAATGTTCATCTGTCGATATCTCTCTGCTCTGGACTGAATGTAATATTCCAGGTGCAGTCACAGCCAAGCTGTTCAAAGGAAAATTATTGACTTTTTTTTTGCTCCGTAATGTAATCTCCCTCTGACTGTAGCCTAAGATTACATTGCCCTTCCTTTTGGTGCTGTATTACATTGCAAATTTGTCTGTGATTTCTCTATTGCTAGCCCTCAGTCTCCTTCAACAGCACAGTTTCATTCCACTGAACATAAGCATTAATTTGTTGGTGTTTATAGACCAGTGAAGGCTATTGTGTGAGAAGCTGGAGCTGACCGTGTGGAGACAACATAATATCGATGGCAGGCAGACAGAGAGAAAATTGACAATTCAAAAATTGAAGGGAATGGATGAACAAGAGACAGAGTTTCTTTTCTGTGGTGCACCAAAAAGGATTTTAAAAATTGCTCATGGCTTAATGGCAGTGATCTTATGTGACATAAGAGCAAAATCTAAAACACAATAAATTATTTTGAACATTACCAGTGTATTTTGTCAAAAGTGAAAGTGTTGACATTTTTCCTTTTTCTGACTTGCTCTTTTGTTCTAACATAGTAATTTAAAAATTATTTTTAAGGACAAGCATATTTTAACATTAAAAAACCTTTGTTTTCATTCATCTACAAAAACGGCACTGCAAAGATCATATTTGTATAAATGTTTTTTATATTTATTTCAAAATTTCCTTGTTTTGTTTTTTTTTTTTGTTTTGTTTTGTTTTGTTTTGTTTTTGTTTGTTTGTTTAAAGTTTTACAGCATTAACAAAAGCTGATATAAGTAGCCAGATTTCTTCAGAGTCATTTTTGGAAGAACTGACTTTTGATTCAATGTCCACTGAAAATACATAATACACAACAGATAGAGGATAGAATTGAACGCTGGAACATGAGATGAACAAGAGAGAGAATTAAAGAAAAGAAATAGTGTGTGCAGAGAAAACAGGAGATGGAAAAAGTCAAGAAAAAAGGAAGAATTTGTAGTTTGAGGAAAAGAGAATGGGGTAATATGTGTAGGGGTAATAGGGGTAATATGTGAGAAAATGGGAATGAAACAAAAATCATTGAAGATCAGTTTCCACAGTTTTTGAGAAGAACAGAGATTTTTAAGTGCTCAGATGTCAAGCATTTCCACTGCAAGAAAAAAAAAAAGGAAAAGGGAAAGCTTAGTCAGAGGGAGCTGCATGTCAGACTGATGTCTCTTCACAGAAGATACAAGTTGCTAGAGGTGACCAGACTTCCAATCAGACTTGTATTCTTTTGTTTCATGGTCTGTCCCTCACATGCACCTGTGTCTGAGAAACTGCTGGTGAGCTGGGATGGTTCATTTAGAGTAATGCAGAGTTCCATTACACGTCATCGAAGAAAAGGATAAATTACACAGAAAATCCTCTTCCTTCCCAATGAATTCTGCAACTTGCTGGCAGTAACACCCAGGCTACTGGTGTGAATACCTGGGCCATGCACCAACAATGTCAAAAGACAGTGGCTCAGATAATCATGCAAAGAACATCTAGCAAATATATTCAGGTTCCCTGAAGAATCAATTCCCCTGAGCTTTTCAGGGTTTTGCAGTAGAACAGACAAGCAATTCTTCTTCATCCCTTAAAGACAAGTTCTGTTAACCAACACACAGGCATTGCTCATTTTAGCTGTGGATCTTGGTGTGCAGTGGAAGACAAGATAATCATATCAGCTCTTCAGTTCTAGGCTGCAATGTGAACCTGGTTTGGCTTAACTAACTTGGCAATCCTTACACAGAACTGAAGCTCCTTCCCTGTGCAGTAGGTCAAAAAAAAAAAGATATTTCAAGGTGCAGGATATTTTCCGCATCATCTTTTTCAATCCTTAAATTAACATAGTTTCAACAAATTATGTTGAAACTGCTGTTTTCCAGGAACATTGCTTTCAAAATATTTGTTATGTGCAGGAAGAAGTAATGTGGCAAGTGACCACTGACCTCTTTAATGCCACCTAGTTGGCAATAGAAATAAGCAAGAGCTATTCTGAGTCTCTTTGTTTGGACTTTTCCTTTCCATATTAAAACTCAATTACAGTAATTGCCAGATCCTTTTTGTTTCCAAGAGAAAGCTGACTTCTAGAATAACACTTGCATATTACTCTAAGTAATATCAGAGTCATCAGGCTGCCAGAAAGACAGCATTTCTCAATTTGAACTAGAAAAAACATTAGTATGGTGTGAGGTGCTGGGTTCTTTCTTTTTTGACTATGACAAGATTAAACCCTGATGTTGCTTTCACAAGAGCTAATGACTGATAACCCAAGAATCACTGCCTTGCTGGATGCCAACAAGTGCCATCAGACCAATTACCTCATCAGGGCCTACTATTCAAACACTGCAGACTCAAGCTCACGTTTCCAGTATGAAAAGCTGCAGCTGCAAATTTCTATAGGATCACCTTTTATTAACCTCCCACAGAGAACATGCCCTTACGTGGCAGAATCTCTCTGTCACTGAATAACTCCACTTTCTGTACTGTTGTACTGACCATGAAGAATACTTTCCTTTTACTTTCCTTTAACTGACACTATGCCTGAAACAAGTCTCCCTTGTGTCTCTTCTGTGGAGGCACTGCCAAGAAGTACTTTTGCCAACAGATAGCAAAGCAGATGATCTGAAGCTTTTGATTAAAACAAACTTAGAATCAGTAGCTTTAATAACTTAATGGTTATTTTAGTGGTTATTATGCTATTACAGTGAGACATCTCATCATAGAAGCAGATTGCATGAATCAAAGTAATTGTATGTTGTAGAGACTGGCAATGATAACTTTGTTTGCATTTGTTACACAAACTTCATCTTTCTCAGTTGTTGTGTGTTGGAGTGAGAGAACATCTCCGCTGTGGCTGAGGCACTCCAAGTTAATACTTTCTGTCTAATTTCTTCCTAAATACCAGCAGTTCTCTCCTCAGTGACTATAAATACTGACTCATGGAAAAATAAAATTGAAATTAAAAAGGCTACAAAGCATCAAATTGTTTTATTGCATGACTGAAAATTTAGAAAAGGCTCAAGTCTAGGTGCCCAAGATCTTAGATACACCCCAAAAAAGCAGTTTAGCTTCAGTTCTCATCAACTTCAGTTGAATTCCCAGTTGAAACTTCTTTGCTTATGTCTTGCAGGTTACAGTCAGGACATGAACCTTGCCTCAGGCTATGGCATCCAGCTCACTCAGACTCCTGGATATGGAAGCCCATCAGGGCCTGTTTGTAAGGCACTCTGAAGTGTGGCCGTTTTGCTGTTGCACAAAGGAGAAATGGGCATTCCCATAATTCACTTCAGCAAGAAACCAGACAGAGATCTATGGGACTTTATAAAAACGGATCCCACCAGGTAAATAATTTAGGATTCAACAAATCATTCTTTTCCAATAACAACTTCCCAACCTGATCAGTCTTGCAGTATTTCACACACAGCCTTCTGAAATCTTTTTAAAGCTGTGCATCTGATGAACTGACATTCAGCTCTCCAAACTGCACTGTTTCAAAAAGATCCAGCTACCAAATGATGTACTCTGGAACAGATCCCCAGTCTGAAGTGGTAAGTTTGATTGTCTTTCCCCTACTCTGACACTTATTACACTGTAGCATCAATATATTAATATCCATCAGTGTGTATAGCATATTTTAGTTAGAGTTGGCAAAAAAAATACTAGGAAATTCTTACAAACTTCTAAGATTGTGGGATAGATTTTGGTATCATAGGAAGCCTTAATACAATGTGATTGTATAATTTCAGTGGGATGTGAATATAGTCTAGAGAAATAAACTAAAATAAAACTAGAAAAAAGTACTAAAAGTTCTCCTGAGTGTTCTTTCCTTCCACGTTTTCTAATATTTTTGGAAAATGTTAAAGCTCTTGTTGAATTCTGGATCAAATACAGCATGAGCTGTACCTTTCCAAGCATTTCAGTTCTCTTTGTTAAATAATGGATCTGAGCAAACCAAACCTCTCTCATGTGAAGATGTTGAAATTAGATGTAGTCCCTTATGGTTCATGTTCAGGCAAGCCTTAATGGCAGTATAAAGTTAATACTGAAATTAACTTAGAGAAGAATATTTTAATCTATATATTTATGACTGGACTGATTTCCTTTGCAGCTAGAGGAAAGAAAGTAGTGCTTTTCTTCCATTTTGGGTCTTTATATTCAGTCCATAATATGCAGCGTTGTAATATGGATATTTATAATTACTCCGATTTCATTAGCTAAAAAGCCAGAATTAGACAGTAAAAATTAGATTTTAATGAACAGTTTCAACATGAGGAAGTTATGAATTGGTGTCTTGAGGATATCATCACAACTTAGAAATGAGGCAAATTAGACGAGTCGAAAAGGAAAAAAGAGGAGAGGAGATTAAAATAACTTCAAACAAAACAGAGGGAAGGAGAGTGGAGAAGAACATGAAATTATCTTTTAAATCAGGGAATCAGGGAGTCCACCTGCACTGAAACAAGCATCCCTACAGACTGGAGACACAGTCGATTCCCACCAGGCCCATCTCCTGGCCTTGCACTTCTGGCCTTTAAAAGTGATGACTCCCAGCCATGGCTTAGTGAGAAGGCGAAGATGTTCTATCAACAAAGATTTGAAATTAATCAAAAAAGCAGCTGTTCACAGCACAGTAAATAAAAAATAAATACTTAAATCTCTTTTACTGCATACTCTGCAGACCGTAACGTGGTAGGCATCTGGATAGAGCAGCTCTTGGCTGAAATATATATGAATGCAATGGATGCTGCTGAGAAAGAAAGAGAAGGGAATCAGTGGAACCAAGAGGAAATCTGACTTCTTAAAAGGTCAAGCTCTTGGAAACAAATATAAGGTGTCCTGAATCCTAATGCAATATCATTCTCATTAAACTGTGTCATGGCCTAAAGCAAATGCTCAGTATAACTGCGTTTTTACTGCAGCCATTTTAAAATGATGGCTCTTGTGGCATCCACATGTCTCATTTGTTATATACAGTCATGCAAGCCTCACAGATGACTGTTAATGTTACCCTCTCTCCCCCTCAACTATTAAATAAACTCAGAAATTACAATGACATTAAAAACACTTTGAGCAATTTTATGTGATCATTAAGTCAGAATATTCCACTCTGGAGGCTTCTGCTATTCAGCAGCCTTGAAATTACTTAGATCAATTAAGTGCATTATATTTTATATGGAATATAGGAATGCATTTTTTTTGCTACTGTGGGGAAGTATAAATAATGAAAGAAGGTGAATCTCCAGCAATCTCTCTGTAGTCCTGTTCTGCTTTTCTCACTTCTGAATGTTTTCACTTGGTTAGCCTTTCTTTTTCATTTCGTTTGATGTAGAGTCATATTTCAATATAATCTGAACATTTCAGCAATAAGAAAGCTTATAAATTTCCCTTAATCTGCCATCTCCTTTTTCATAGATAATAGACAAATAAGCATCCATAAAACAGGATCTTTTCCTGAATTCATAGCACTTAACCAAACCATTGAAATCAGAAGCCTACTTATTAAGTATTCTGAAGAAGAATTTCCAGAGGATTCTTCATTGTACTGTGGATCTGAGGTACTATCTCCAAAGATTGCTTGTATCCACTGACAGAATCTGTGTACCCTTCATGGGATCGGTCTCTTCTTGCACTGTTGGCGTCAGAATACTGAAAATTTTATTATTTATGGGAGCTAGAAAAAGCCAAAGAGCAGCGGATGTGTCAGGCAGAGGTCAGAGTGATTTGCTGATGCAGGTCACTGGTAGACTCATGACCATAACCCAGTTTTTTAATGGACAACTTCTAAAGGGTAATGATCCTTTTGAGGGAATCATATGTGAAAACTTCATCATGAAGTAAAGACTATGTTAAATAATTCCCAACATCAAGAGTGTCTTAGCTCATCTGCATGAATCAGCTAATGGTGGTGACTATGTTGAAAAATTGTGTTGTGTAGCAGAGAATTTGCTCCATCAAATAGTGTTACTGCGCTTTTTGTTGTTATTTCCATGTGAATAAATAGGAAGCATCTCTTTTGGAGTGACTTATTTTACTCAGAATAGGAGTAATTTTCTTTGCAGTTAATCACAAACTTTGTTGGTGGTGATTACCAATTTAGGAGAATATTTATAGCCTCTAGCATAGTCTGGGGATCTGACCTTGCAAGCAAGGTCATTAGTCATTAGCCAGTGATTACTGCACAGGTTGAAGGATTAGCTGGTCAAGTACAATGCAAGTGTGACTTTTGGGAAAGCTCTGCTTTCCATAAAGTGGAAGAGCTAGAAGAGATTTTTCTAGCTTACAAGAAAGCCAATTGAAAGACTGTGTAATTAAATTCATTGTGTTCTCTATCCATCCTGCAAAACATAATAGGACTTACCCAGAAAATAGATCTGATAACATGGTTCCCAGTGCCATGCCAATTCTCATGCTGTTGTGCAGCCCAGGCACTCAATTATAGTTCTGCAGGATTAATTAGTGCAATTATCCATACAGCTAATACTCAGTGTAAATGAGGAGGATTAGCAAGGAGTTATATGGTGAAAAGCAAACATTTTTTAAAACAGGAAACTTAGGACATATAAATTAAAAACCAAGGGATTTGCATTCAAGTATCAGTGCCTCACTGCAGCAGGTACAGCTGTGCACTGCTTTGGCACTGAAATGTGTTTGCAGAGATAGAGTTGTGCTCTGCTAGGTGCAGCTGAAACTCCTTAGGTATTTCAGGAGTCATCACCATCTACATTATAAAGCCCAGAAGGCACTCATTGTGAGCTTCCAAGGAATCATTTGTATAATGTAGATGTTCCAACCTGCTTGCACTACATAGTTCTAAAAAGAATATTTTGAGAAGTAAAAAAAAAAAGAATCTGTGAGCATTTGGTGATAATCTAAAATTGCATAGCGATGCCATGAAAGTTCTTGTATTATTCTAATGATTAATATCTTCCCTATTAAAAACATGTACCTTATCAGGCTGTTTAATTCTAGATTCTAATTCCTAGATATACTGTAACTTTATCAGTTTCAGTAGCGAACTTCTCCCCACTGAAATATCTGTGAACTGGGATGAAGCCACCCCATCTCTTTTACAAACAGACAGATTGAACTCTTTAAATATTTCTATTTTGGGAATGCTTGTCAGTACTTCACTCATTCCTCTTTTCAGACCTATTGTCTGTATCCTTCCTGAACTGCAATCACTAGACCTGGATATGTTAATCTTGCAGCATTAACATCCTAATCAAATGTTGAGAAAGTGTAGCATCTTGATCTCCACTCAGAATTCTCTTGTTTATATTGTAACACACAATTTTACCAGACTCTTTTGTTTGTCACACCACACTGGCTTAATTCAAGAGCATTTGAACTTGTTTTGAATTCTCTGTCTCATTTGCAGAGTCTACAGCTTTGCCTAGCCATCTTTGTTCCTCTTCAGTCTATTCTAGGGTACATCAGTTACACATAGAGCTTAAGGTTCAAGGACCTTCGCAGTAGGAACCAGGCTCCAATGTAGGCTTGTCAAGCATGCTGCAACTTTATCTCCTTCTGAACCCTTCTTTATTTTTTTCCAAAATGATTCAGAGAATTTGCAATCAGAATCCCCAGGTAATCAGTCTGCCTCCATACCATGGTACCTTTAGCAATTACTTTGTATAGAGTTGCTATATTTTTCTAATAAGAAGTGCTGTGGAAGCTTTTATGTTGTTTTCTATTTTTATTTGGTTAATACACTTAGTGTGTGTGAATGCGTGTCTGTGTAATGTTCTGTTAATGTGGCATTTATTCTCCTTTCCTTCCAAGCCCTCCTCAAGGATGTCTGCAAATCAGTCTGGTTTTGTGTTTAATGCAAGATATCAATCATCTTTCCAGGAGAAAATGGTTTCTTATTAAGGGGAAGGAAACATTCTATTATTTATTCATTCTATTATTGTTCCCTGGAAAAGATCCAGATTTGCAATAAACCAGTGATTGGAAATGCACAAAGTATTTTAATATCCTAATTATTTTGATTTAACTTCCTCTAATAGTTTAAATTGATACTGAATTTACTTAGAAGCCATTACAAAGGGATTCCCTCTTCCCCTTCCCCCAAAGTAGTCTAGAAACACAAACCTAACTTAAGCTAAAGACAAAATATATTGTCTTATATTGCTCACTGTCAGTTGCGTAACAGAGTTAGCTTTTGTGTGAGACAGCCAGGTGGAAGGAATAGTAGGGGGAAAAAAGAAGCAAACAAAGCTTCTATAAATACATTCCATTATTCTAAAATTCATCTGAATTAAAAAAAGAAATTGCTACAATGGCAATTTTTCTGTCTTCAGGAGATGGTAATCAGACGCCTACTGACTTCCTACATTGTTGGCACTAACACAGACTTGACTGTATAAAAAGACCTACTGAAAAATTTCATCTCTCCCTGCCAGCTTTTTTCCATGTTATCTCCACTTTTACCCTACTGTTACAGTCACAAATTTTTCACATAATTTTTTTCAAAGATGAACATAAGCAGTAGGATACATTCTATATTTGGTCATTTTTCTGGTTTTCCAGCAGCCACAGCCCTCTGTGTTTATCTAATGCCAGCAACAAAAGCAGTGATGGCAACTTAGTCTGCTTTTAAGGCAGGTCTTTAAAGCTAAATGTGCTCATCTGGGGCTGGGGAGTTTCCGGTTCAAATACTTCCTTTGTTGAGATGATCAAACCTACATCCCCTCGCATTCTGAAGAACTCTTGTCCATTAGGTTCACAACACTGCTTTTCCCTCATGTTGAAATTGCAGACTTGGAACCTAAAAGCAGAAAGAGACGTGCAGGGTACATGCAGGAGAAAGAAATGGGTCTAAGTTCTTGTGCTAAGGCCTCTCCATACAATTCAGTCTCCAGGGAGCCATTTTAATGCCTTCCCCATCGTGACAGCAACCCACTCATAGACCATGTTAATCTGCTTTATGTATGTCAGTGCAGGTTATCTTTTTTATATTATAGCCAAATAATCTTTTATGTTTTATTCAGAAATTTATCTGGGGGCTCCTTCTCAAACTCCCTCCAACAAGAAATTACGACAGTTTTACATGCTCATGACCCCACCAGAATCACTGGCTTTACTGGCATAAAATCAAAGCAGTGAAAGATAGAAGAAAAATGAATAGAATCTCTGTAATAAGTTAAGAATTTATGTCCTGCGATCATGTTGAAAATAGCTGTAGCTTGACAATTGCTACTGCCTGTAAATGAGCATCCGTGGATATCACATTACTTATGAAGCTATTTCATTATGACCCAAAAAGTTTCTCAAGAGCTTTGGCTGAGCCTTACTCATAAAATTAATTTTGAAGTGCTAATTTGGCACCATTTTTCTAACACACATGAATTCAAGATATAAATTTTGACACATTCAGATTTTTATAAGAAATTTCAAAAAATACTGAAGTTTGTTTGAGAATTGTACTTTTAAAATATAAATGCTCTATAATTATAATCATCATAATTTTAGTGCTTTATGTAGAGATGTTTCATGTCATGTTATGTCATGTTTGATGCCTACAGCTCCCTGAAAGGAGGTTGTTGTGAGGTGGGGCTGGCCTCTTCTCTCAGGTTACAGCTGTAGGATGTGAGGTAATGGCTTCCAGTTGCACTGAGGGAGGTTCTGTTTGTGTATAAGGAAAAAGTTCTTAGAAAAGTGTTGATGCACTGCCACAGTCTGCCCAGGGATGTGGTCATCATCCCTGAAGGTGTTCAAGAACTGCAGAAATGTGGTACTGAGGGGCATGGTTAGTGGGCATGGTGGAGATGGGTTGGACTAGGTGATCATAGTGGTCTTTTCCAACCCAAAATGATTCTATGATTTTACAAGGTCATGTGAATGAAGTTCTTGAGTCTCTTTCACTGTATCATTTTGCCACCTAACTTTAGGACAGAAGTCTGCACTGCCTGCATTTGCTTGTTCTGGCAGTGAATGGGTAAGTGGAAATAATATTCATTTCTGAAAAATAGTCAGGGAATGGACATTATAGTTAATGAATATCCTCTTAGAGATAAGTAATAAACACAAGACTGTAGTTAAGATATTTAGGAAGAAATCTACTATTATAGTATTCTGTCTTTTGCATTACATCTGTGTTAAAAGTGATTAGCCTGAAGATGAGGAATCCGGGCTCCGGCCTAAGAAGATTAAAAATTAACATGAATTATGACCTGGAGCATTCTGGAAATGGGACACCCTCTTCTTTCTGAACTGAAACAGGACCATGCTAAACCCTGAAGTGCAGATAGTCATGGTGAGTGTACATGAGATCCAACTTGATTATGAAGGTCAGGACATAACATGTAGAGTAAGGACAAGGGGAATTCTAACATTTTTTTCCCTGTGTAAGGAAATCACAAACAGGAGGAAGAACTAGAAAGAACATCCTCCACATCCTTCATGCATGCACTAATCATCAAGATATCATGCAAAAAGTAGGCAGTATGTATGCAGGTGTCTCTGCTTCAGTTTGGACCATGCTGCCAACATCTGTTATCCAAATGAAAATGATTCCATACGTATCCAGAGCTTAAATACATACATGTACAAAGGAATTTTTTCTGGTTGCCAGGGGAACAGCTTGTGTGCTCTGATGTGCTCAGTAATACATAGCAAACACCCCTCAGGACTGTGAGCTGCAGTTATACCATAGCTAGAGCCATTTTAGAAGGAGTTTCTGCATTCTGGAATTTCTCATGACTGTTCTTTTGTCTGTGGTGCAGTAAAGGGAAAAAGTTCATTTGTTGCATCTGTGAAAGATGGTGCTGGTAGTGGAGTCTGATCACAGTGCAAAAACATTTAGTTTAATGATGATAACTTGTGTTTTATATATATATGTATATTTATCTACCAATCTACCTGTCAGATAAGCAAGTCTATGATTATCTGTATTTGTCTGAACCACTGAGCTATGATCTAAGTTTTCTTTTGATGCAATCATCTTTTCCCAAATCACTAAACGTTTTCTGAATCCCTCAGGATGTTATAAATCAGTTTCTTAATGCAAAATTTTCTTTCTTGAATTTAAAAAGGAGATAACGTGTGTCTTTGTCCCTCTGCTCAGTCCTCTATAAAATGTGCCTAATAGTTGCAGTATTTTTTTCTGACCGTGGTATCAATGCCTCATCTACTCCACATTCTCTCTGAAGTAATCCATTCTCACAAATGAGGCCACTTCAACTTTTTTAAAGTCTATTGCCTATCCAAAAAGTTGATAGATTTTACAGGAGTCATGTTTTCATTGATTAAATAGACAGAAGATATTGGAATATGCACAGCCCTTGTAAGATGTGGTTGTGAAGAAAAGTCTGCATTAGGATTTGCATGAGAGATTCAGTGTACAGGGGGATTTCTTTTTAAGTGCATATTTGTGACTGAATGTGTTTTTTAGTTCTGTCCTGTGTGAACAACTACAATATCAGAAGTTCCCCTTCTCATAGAAACAAGGCTGAAGATGCTCAGCAGAGCAAGAGCACCCCACCAGCAAAGTGGAGGTAAGGTAGCAGCTGGTAGCAGTCTTCATTGCCAATCTTCATGGGATGTGGATTTATGTTCCAAAAACTATAGCAGATCACAGTAAATCAAACCCCTTTGTGTCTTTTACCCATTAGTAGTGCAGATTTATGTGATGTGTGTACATAACATAAGAGATTTCCAATTGGAGTTGTTGTTCAGCTCTTTTTACACAGCAAACTGTTCTCATTTCTTTCAGAAGAGTCCTTGGATACATGCCCAAAAACAAATTTCCAGATCCCTTCATCAGACTCCTTCTCCTTCTCTCCTCAGTCTCTGCCCCTCCCTTCTTTTCAGTAATAATGGAAGCAATTTTCATCATAAGCTAAACAGAACTGAATTTCTTTGCACCTTATGTGAAAAAAAAATTGTGTGCAAACTAGATAAGGTAGAAGAATAGTGCATGAACTGCTGCCATCTCTTGGTTATATTCATCACTCCAAGTATTCTAGAGATATTCATTGAAATGAAGAATATTAGGGCAGTTCATACTATTATTTTCCCTTTCACTCACAACCTTGCAAACACAAAGCCATTTCATTTTTTTTTCTTTTTTCTAATGCTATTGTTGAAATTATGTTAAAACTGTTAAGGAAACGTTTAAAGGTTTTCCATCAACGTATTTTGCGTGCTGAAGCAGTGATGTACTTTGTTGTACTTGGATGGGTTTGTGGTTTGTTTTTATTTTAATCTCTATCTTTGTTAAGTTTCTGAGTTCTGTTGCAATTTTTGTACCACAACAAAGAGAGTGTTACTGTTTTGGCATTCTGACAGCGAAGGGCATAAGAACAAATTAAAGTAAGGGAGCTGGTACTAGCGAAACACATCTGCCTAAGTGAAGGAAGATGAATTTCCAACATAATTTTTTCCCATGTCTGAAGAATAACACTAATTTTATGCCCTATCCAGATGTGTGCTCTGATTAAAAGCTTGTTGAAGCTAATGGCAAAACTTCAGTTGACTTCATGAGCATTCAGATAATTTCTGGTGACAATCATCAGTTTTCCATCAAAGTTGTAAGTAAAATTACATTTTCCCATGCATACTGATCACCAGTGTTGCTGCACGTTTAATGAGTTTTTGATTATTTCAGTAGGATATCAATTGGCTTTTTTTAGGTTGACTGAGATGCATGGACAGCTAAAATATCCTGTCTGAGCCCACCAAAACTTGCTATGGATGATCAGTAGGAACACAGTACTGTTTCTCCCAGTGACTGTCACACAGGCAGGATTTTCATCTGTTTCTTGCTTTTTCCTAGCCTTCGGTCTCATTCCTGTTGATGTCATCCTTGCTTATTAACACCACATGTTTGCTAACAGCCATACCTCAGTAGGTCCTGTGGTTGTGCCATGGCTTATCACTTCTGATAGTAATAGAGATGGATCAGCTATTTGTACCAAAAAAACAAGTGCAGAAGGTCTGAGAATCACCTAATAGAAGCGCTCCTGAGTTATGCCAAAGGTTTAATTAACCAGTGCTATAATAAGCAGGTACTCTCACTCTTCTGAGTGAGGATTATCCACTTTCTGTCTTTTGGAGCAGAAGAAATTAGGCATTGTCGTTAGTGTGACAAGCACTTGGTTAACATGTGGAACTGAAAAGTTGAGCAGAGGTCTCATAAAATAGTTTCTTCATCTGGAAGACCAGGAATTGCTTGATCTGCTCCCTAGATATCTACAGTCATAGCTGAAGATCTCCTTCCAAGGGGATGTACATGATTCTGCAATCCTGGGCTCATTTAGTTGTCTTTTTGTTGTTGTGACTAAATAGTATGATCATATACACACTCAGCTAAAGCCCCCGGCATTAAGTTTGAAAGAACTTGTAGATAGGAACAACATCTCCCTGTGTAGCAAGTTTTACTTCACTGGTTTTTATTCATGAGCTTTTACATGACAGCTTACTGCAGCCTGATTTTCTTACTCACTGAAGTGATTAAAGCAATATCACCCTGGAGACTCCTTGTTTGTCTGCACATATCACTGCCACTGTCTTATCTTCCTCCAAAGCAGGGGCAGAGGACTGGTGTGCTGGAAATTTGGCATGATGAGGTTTGTTCTCACTTCATAATAGAGCCATTCTGTTTTCTCTCTTTTAGGTTTGCTGAAGTTTCTTTCTGGTAACTTTATTAAAGAATTAAGAAAATGGTAACTATTATCTGGAAGAGCACAGTATATCATAGAATTGTAGAATCATTTGAGTTGGAAGGGACCCTTAAAGGCATTTGGTCCAACTCCTCTGCAACAAAGAGGGGTACCTGCAGCTCCATTAGGTGCCCAGAGTTCGGTCTGAAAAGTGCCATGAAGCAGTACTTCACACTCACAGTGGTTCAAAGAGAGCTAAATAGATTGTATGGATAGAGCAGTATTGCCCTGTAGTGCCAACACATGCACTGTGATACAGAAAGTGCTGTCTGGCACCCTGTGCTGCAGAGCAGGCTCAGGACTTTGACATCTATGCACAGCAATAATTGCAGCTTTTAGTCCACATCATACATATGTTGATGGAGGAAGGATAGGAAGGAGGGGAGAAAAAAAAGACTGAAGTAAACACTTATGTACTTACGTGCATGATGAGCTTCTGCTGGTAGCTCAACTAAATCAATCTGCTGAGCAGATACTTGCTAGAATGCATATGGAGTATGGGCATGTAAATGGGTTGAAAAGTACTAGTAGGACCACTAGTGCTCAGATCTGGTTACTTAAGCACTGGTTTTCTCAAATGCCTTAGCGTACTCAGCTTCCCTGAAGGGAGGATTTCTGTGGGTAATCTGTGGAACCACTTATCAGTAGGTAGTCTGCCTGAGGATATGGAATCTGCAGTTCTTAATGTGGCCTTTTCCATCTCCATGTCCTGCTTGCAAGGGATTACGTGGCATTGCTCAAAGAACAATCAAATGGCCCTCTTATGCAAAAAATATGCTTTTTTTTCCAGCCTTTATCTTTTGTATTTTTATTTTATTTTACTTTTTTAACAAATCCAGGACATTTTTAAAAAGCTCAACCCTAGAAGTAAGTAAATTCACATTGTCAGATTATTTCTGGATATGAATACCTAAAGTGCAGCTTGCAAATTGCTCTTCCTCTGCTCATTTTTCCACCCTGTCATTGGACTAAATGCTAAAAAATGTTATGTCATTACCTTTTGTGTTCAAGCTCAGACAAGTCCTAGTGTCTTCCAGAGCTCCTCTGGAGACTCATCTTTCCTACATTGCTGCAGCAGTAGAGAAAAGGAGAGAGCTGTGTTCTTGTTCATTAATCTGGTTATTGAATGAGATTTCTCTCATGAGAAAGCTCTGTAGAACCCCGTAGAATACTTTTTATTTTCTAGAATAATTCACTTTTTTTTGAAAGCAAATTGTCACGCCTAAAAGATACAAGTGCTTTAATTAAGGATGGATGTCTTTCTAAAGAAATTTCTCCAGCTCAGCTGGGCACCACTAAGCTCAAAGCAGGAACCGGACTGAGAACTTCCAGCAACAGACCATTGCCTCAGCTGGGCAGCACAGCCACACTGGGAGGACCTTCCCAGCCCCTATGCTGCAGCACTTAGTTTTGGAAGATTCCTGCTACAGCACATTATTTTGGAAAAGAATCTGAGACTGAAAGATGAGCTGTCTTTGCTGCTCTTTAGAACAGAAGGGTACAGCATGACGGGACTCATGCAAGGCATCCTCAATCTTCTGTAGCAAACGCTGCTGGCTGCTATGAACAACTCAGCCATAGACGGATGGATAGTTTTTTTTGCTGTTGTCCATTGTCCATCTATCTCAGGTGAATAAGAAAGAGAAGTAAGAGGAAATAGAGATGTTCATTCTGGTGAAAATAAAATATTTAAAGCTAAACTTAAAAAATAAAAAAAGGGGGGAAGGGTTAGGGAAGAAATTCTCTCAAATTAGTTTAAGATGTAGTTCCTCCTCTCCCCAGAAATAATTCATTGAAATATTTACAAATAATGGGAAAAGATAACTGTTTGGCCTCAGCAGTGAGGGAGCATGTGTGAACAGCAGCAATTTAGGACATTACCAGTAATGACCTAGGTGCATGGACCTAATTACATGAATGAGGCTTAGCACTTACAGTCTTTGGATAGATGAAAGTTGAGGAAGAAAGATTTCTTGAATGGCCAAAGAGTGAAATAACTTTTAGAAAAAAATAAATTAAAATCTTATTTAAAATAATACTTTATTTACTTTTTATTTACTTTTCTTTTTTTTTTTTTTTTTTTTTTTTCTTTCTTTCTTTCTCCACTGCTGGGAGGGTAGAAAACATTTCCCTGATGATATTATAATATTGTTGAAATGCAATTCCCTGAGTAGGCTGAGTAATTTCAAATCCTATGTCCTGACTAAGATATTTAATTTGAAATTATTTAAGTGGTTACTTGGCTGAAAGGGATTCTGAAAACAAGATCTACTTATGAGTCTTCAGGCTAAGGAAACATTCTAGTGAATTTAATTAAGGATGAGATTCTTTACCAGCTTCAATCCATTAAGTAACCTGCAGGTTTGTATCTTGGTAATTAATGTCTGCTGATTAATACAGTAATCATGGCCACATTTGCAGCAAATAAGGACAAACAACAATTTCAACACAGTGTATACAGAGGTTATTTTTTTTCCCTCTCCTTTTAAGGATCTCCTGGATGTATTTATACATTTTACTAATAGAGCTGATACTGCTTATCTCATAAATCTACACAGTGTTATATGCTGGTGTTCTAAGATTGAGCAAGATGCAGTAGAGGAGGCTGTCTGACAATTTTTATCAGTAAAATGTTCTGATAAGGGAAGTGGGCTTTTATTTCTCCTTGTTGTGTCTCCTAAAAGGCTTTGAGATTCTATTTTTGAAAAAGGAATTACAAAAAGGGAATGGTTTTACTTGGGAGTTTGTTTCATGACATTGGTCCTTCCAAAAGCAATCTATTGACATAACTGGGAAGAGTTGGAAGAATGCTGAAAAATGATTCTGCAAAATGATCTACGCTCACCACAGGTGTTCATTCCCTATCTCTCACCACACCCACAGCTGGGAATTGCTCAGGATGTCTGTAATAAAGGAAGCTGGAGAAAACAAGGTGAGAGTATAGGAGGGGCAATATCAACCACTGTATCAGGTTCCCTGCTACATCACATCAGAGGAAGTCCTGCCAAGAAAATGAAGAAAAGGTTTGTTCTGAAGTCTCCTTTCTAATATATTTACATATACAGATATAGATATGCAGGCCATGCAGCAGTGGAGTAGTTTGTTCCTATACTTTTCCATTCTAGATTTGAGCGCTCAGGATCAGGGTGTAAATGAGACAATCAGTCCATGAGAGTGGAACGACACGCAAGGTAAATGCTTTCATCATTCTTCTTTGCTGCCAAATTCCATATGGCAGTAGGCTTTGACAACTCTGATGGTCTCTCATACGTTGGCTTGTAACAAATCTTTTAACTTCACCTGTTCTTCAGGAAAGAGAATGCCTTTTTAGTTCTTTGAAAATATGGTTAGAATGCACACATGAGGTTCTCTGTATCCTTCTAAAAGTCTCCTTTTCAATGTACATTTTTCTGCCCATTGGAAAAGCACCCAAATATTCAAAGATGCCAAAATCAAAGGCTAGCTAGCATCCAATTAATCCTACTAGCAGGTGTCTGCAGATAGCTAGTGAAAACTTTGTAGACATGATGTTAATGTTCTTCCAGGCATCAACTGGTGAAAAGGAAAATGAAGAGGAAAGAGCTTTTTGTTAGTTACTATTTCCCTAGGTGGTCAAGGCCTAGCTTCTTTCTCATTTAATTTGTGCATGATTTTTCACTAATACAAAGGAAAAAGTAGAAAGATCTGAAAGTTGAATCTAGTTACAGAGCTAGAAATAGCTGCCATCTTATTTCTCCTCTTGGTTTCTTAAGAGTTGAGCCTTCTTTTTTTCTTTTTTTCTTTTTTTTTCTTTTTCCTGGAAAAATACACCTTGATATCTTACTATAATTAGGATTTCAAAAGAGAGTCGTTGATCTGTTTCTAGAATTTTGTTTGAGTGAATCAACAGAATAATAATGTTGGTTTTGTTGTGTACTATTACTATTATTATTGTTCTGTGTTGTCATCTCAATTTACAAGGATAAATAGGAAAGTATTATGTAGATGAAGGAAAAGTTTAACTACAGGCTGAAGGTAAATTTCCTCTCTCTGAAATCAGAAATACAGTAAGAAAAAGGTGCGATAATTACAAGGAAAATAATAAGTTAATTAAAAATGTTTAAATTAACATGAAAACACAGTAAATTGCTGAAGAGGGACCATAATTTCATTGTTGTGAAGAGCTGTTGAATGTATTCCTACTGTATTGTAACATTCACCGAGGGGTTTCAGCAATAGATCCTAAGTGTTATCTCCCTTGAAGGTTACCTGAATTTTCCATAGAAGAGTTCATCCTTAAACCTTTCTGTAAAAAAATGAAGATTTTATTATTTATTGAAGAGCTGAGGAATCTTAAAAACCACTGTAAAGAAATGGCTTCTGTTCTGCAGATAGATAAACACTAATGAACTCCTCTTCAGAACAACGTGGCGCAAAGATGTGGCAAAAATAACCAAGAATGAGAAAACAATGTGGATGATGGGTCAGCCTTTCTGGGGGGTGTTGGTGGCAGCTTCCCTTTGGAGCCAAATCCAAGGTCAGATGGGCATGGTGGCTCTAACTTTGATTTGGGCTTGGCTAAATGTGAATGGTGATTAATATCCAGACTGATGTGTTTTAGGACTTCAGGTGAGAAAAAAAGCCTTTGGGTGCTGGAAGGTCTTTTCTCTTGCCCATCAAGAAGTGTTTTACAGAGTCGAATCATCAGACTGAAACTGCTTTCTGGAGCTTTGAAAATTTGCAGCAAATCATTCGGATATGTGTTGTCCTTCAGCTTGTGGCAGTTAAGCTTGTCGAGATTTTTAGTCATTAATGGAACACAGTTTATCCATGTGTTTATCCAACAATTATCCAAGTGAGTCTCTTTGCAAGTTCATCTGTAGTTCTATTTATATAGGCCAGCACAGCAGCAGAGGAAAACCTATTTCTTGAGTGGCCGAGTCCAAGTTTTACTCAAGAAATCAGTGTCTCAGAGGTTAGTCACCCCTGTCCTGTGGCTCTGCAGCAGGGCCTAGAGAAGAATTTGTGTTGTACTGGGGAAAAGAGATGTGAATTCAGTCTGGTGTTACTCTTCAGTGGCAGAATAAGGATGTTCCTCCTATGCAGAGGGGGTTAGGAACCGAAAGGTTTCTCTCTTAAAGCTCTTTGTTACACTGTATTTCATGTACATGTATTATTCACCTTCTGCAGCAAGGGCCAAGACAGCTGTCAGTTCAATCTGCGTTTCAGAGCTCTACCCTGCAGCTGTCCCTGTGTGATACATGGCACAGGGCATGGGGCGAATGGCCCGTGCTGTGTGCTGGGGAGCACTTATTTGCCAGGCAGCTGTAGTCCCAGAAGCACTGTTAGAACCAGCTTTGTCCACGGAAGGCTGGAGGAGGGTTTTGTTACCAAAAGCAAGGCTTTTCTCTTGCATCTACGTTGTACCAAAGGTAAGGAGTTGTGACACTCTCCTCCATAGCTTTGCTTCTTCATTATTTTTCTTCCATTTTTGTCTCTCAAGCCTTCTCTGTTGTAAAGTACAAAACCTACAAAGCTTTGGAATTGTAGCTTCCTTTCTTTACAGTGAGGTGGATATGGAACCTCACATGTAATGATTCTAGTTGGGAGCTTTCTTTGTATACTTTTAATTCAATTATGAAGCACAATATAAATGGCATACCGGCTAGAGATATTTGTGTCCATAATGTCTGGGTTTACTACAGCCTCAGAGAAGCTGAGGTAACCCAACAGTTGTCTGGCTCCTGCTTTGCAGACATACAGTTGGGCTACTATACCTTTGTGGAAGGTTGTTATATGGACCTTAGCGATTACCTGTTCTCTAAGTACTTAAAAGTCATGGGTAGACAGGGATGTATTTTAGTCACACTACTCTCTCTGCTAACAAAACTTTGTAACGTTTCTAGGGAAAACAGCATAAATTAGCACAATCTTCAAATCCCTCAGACTTACCCCAGCAGCAAGAAAGTCTTTTGACAGACAGAACAGCCTGGAGCTCTTGCCCTGGAAGACTGGCTGGTATCCTCTGAGTCTCTGCAGTTCCTAGGACTCAAGGTATTACCCCTATGTTGTGTTAGGGTATTTAGAAGTTGGTCTGTCCCATCTCATTCTGAGCTCTCACACACAATGGTGAGTTCTTTAATGTCTGATTAAGATCCACTTTGTCAAAATAACTCAGGATTACAGTGTGAGACTCAAATGCAGAAGTGCTGAGAAAAAAAACATTCCATTTTCTTCATTTTTCTTCATTTTATTCAATTCACTGTCTGTGTGTATATAGCACCTAGAACTAGGATGTCTGTAGGCTGCACCACACTGCAGATAACAAGGAAGACATCTTGAAATTCTCACACTAAGAAATGCATTACAACACAGATTTCCTCTCTGTCCTGCTTTCAGCATAGTGAATGGAAATAGATAACCATATTCCCCTGTAGGAAATAAGGAAAAAGAAAAAGCTAAAGTTAAAACTGTAGATTAAATACATCTCTTAGGCTGATGACTCAGTGCATGATAGCACTCTGATCTTATCAATAAGAAAACAATTTGACTTCAGTCTTTTTGTCTGGGCCAGGATCATAACAATATTCTAATCTAAATGGTGCTATTCTAAACTCAAGCATTATTTATTCTCAGCTTTTACTATTCTGTTTCAATGAGATGCAAAGATTGCATCTCATTAGCTAAAAGAGGAGAAACCTTTTTTCAACAGCATGAAGATGGTAGCTCTGCAACCAAGGGTAGCACTCAAAACACCAAATGTACTTAGAGATGTAATGTGGCAAGGAAACTTTCCATGCATTCAATGCAAGATGACAGCACACAGATAAAATACTAATCCCTTGTTATCAGCTGTAGGTACAAGACTAAATGCAGTTGTCAGAAAATCTCAGCAGAAATTGGCAGGACTAAGACTAGGTTCATTTAGGGTCCTGCTTTCATTTGCATAAGCATTTCAGAAAGTTCTCTAGGAGTCTTGCTTTCCAGCAAAATATAAGCAATTAAGTGTAGTCACATATTAGTATTGTTTGAAGACTAGAACATCAAAAGTATTTGACCACTAACATCTGCTGATTTCAAGGAAAGGCAGTCCAGCATCTTAGTAGATGGAGAAGTATGAATCCCTCTGAATCCAATATATCTGTCCCATCCATATGTCTCTGTCCTGGCAGTTAAGATGATGTAGGAAAAGATGTTGAGTTTTTAAATGATATTTCAACTCCTTGCTTTTTCTGCTAAAGGACAATAAGTTTGTTTAAAATCTCTTAAGGTATACTGTTACTGAGGGAGAATTCACATTCAGTATCCATGTTGGGTATTCTAAGTATATTCTTCGTTTATTACCTGTGTTCAGAGGTTAGCAGTGCATTGCTGCTACTGTTATACAAACCAGAAAACAACATGTATCAATCAGTCTCTGCCTCAGGACGCATACAAGCTGAAGAGAATCATCTGAATATGCTTTAGAGGTGCGTGCACTCTTACTATTTAGTATTTGGTCACAGCAGATGCCCCCTAATTCAAGTGAGCACATGAACTATAAAAGCAGATTATATCTACACGTGCTTCTCGAGTCACCTGCACAACGGACATCACTGCATCAGCTGTTCATCAACCCTGAATGGAAGGTAAAGAAATGCTGGAGTCTGCTTCACAATTTCAGACTAGTAATTATACTGGGTGTTTACCAGGATGGGAAATGCTCCTCCAGTAAGCAAACACAGCACTTCTGTACTTACCGTGCAATATCATGGCTTTTGTGGTGGGGAGGCCTGCAAACAATCTGGTGCTTTCAACCCAGCTTGAAAAGTAGAGCAGCATGTGTTTTTCACAGCAACGTGCTCTCCCTGTTACCTGGCAAGATGACTGAAATTTCCTATGTTTCATTGCTTTCATGTGCAAAACATGATGAATTAGTAATGGCAATACCCAAAAAACTTCCTTCAGCAATGTTGGCAAAAGGCTACTCAAAAACATATTTTAAAGGAACCTTTAACAGTAACTGTGTATAGGCAAAGATAACCATAGACAGAGAATGGAGCTGGAGCTCCAAAGAGTTCAATCCACTGCCTCTTTGGAAACCAGAGAAACAGCGTTCTCTCTCTGCATCTCACAGTTTCTCCACCTGCAGAACGTAAGTAAGAATTCCAAGTTTCACTTATAAAGCACTCTGCCTGAAGGCTAAAAAAGTTATCTTAATCTTGGCTTGTAAGTATAGCATTTTTTCAGAAGCACACTTTATCCGCCCTCTCTAACTTCCATCCCTTTATTTTCAAAGGTTTTCCTACTGTTTTAACATTATTTAGCATTAATTTAACATTAGTGATCTCAGTCTAGGAGAGATAATTAAAATGAGCAACAGAAACACAGGTCTTCATTTAGAGACATAATCTGTTTAATAAATATGACTGTAAAAGCAATAAACGATAGCAATTATACATTACGCTACATTGTATTTAACGAAAGGGAAAAAGAAGATGAAAAAATACATCAAAAAAAAGTAATTTTAAAATTAGAAATAGTTCCAACACTATAAGAAAACTTTCTGATTGGCTTACTATAAAAATAAGTTGGCTAATGTTGGACTTCACTGGGGAGTATTATACAGTTGCTACCAAAACTTTCCCATCTTTCTTAAAGCTGTAGTTGCAAACACAATAGCAAAGCCATACAAATTGCTGTGTTTTTAGCTGTTTGAGAGAGACTGCAGAAAGTGGCAGAGAACTTCCAACTGTGATCATCCTTTGCCTACTGTGGGTCTGATAGGCGCTCTTCCACTTGGTATAACTTTTTATTTATTTATTTGCCAGCTAGTAGGTTGAGTGGTATTGATATCCATTTTGTGACAGAGAAATTCAAAGTCATCCCTCCCCAGCTCCAGGACCCCAGTCAATGCCAAGAATGTCCCTTTTCCCCATATTTGACAAAGATTGCCTTGAGCAACATCTACTGAACAAAACACATTCATATCAAGAATCAGGATGCGTCCTAATCATGCTACACCAATTATGAACTAGGTGGTACTGGCTTTTACCTAGCATAGCTAATAAATGTATGTTAGCAACTGTATTTCTTTCTTTGCGCTTCAAGCCAAAATCTTATTTCTGAGTTTACCTGAGTGGTGTTGTAAATCAGCAATTGTGATGATTATGGGATAGGCTTCAGCCAGATACCTGGTGCTGTGGTCTTGTTTGAGGTGTGCTAAGTCTGCTTTCCCTGTTCTTTTGTGTAGCCTACATGCAGGGGTCCTGAAGTCACATTTCCAGTTGCAATGTAAGGCACCACTTATATGAGTGGTAAGAACTTGTACAACAACTGTCCTGCGGTGCTAGGGCTCCAAATGTATGGGAACGTGCTCAAGCCAAATCCAGCTTTGCTCTCCCCTTTCCCACCTCAAACAATGGTCTCCAATATCAACAATAAAAGTGGTTGAGGGTGTTACTAGGCTTTATCTTAGTCAAAATTTACGTTGTAAGGCTGGTACAAAATGCAGTGTAAGTTCATGCTGGCAATACAGACCTCCTACCTGTAATGCATCCTAGTTCTGTTCAGCCCAAGGTTGGGAGGCAGAAAGTTATTTCCAAACAGTGCTCTCAAAGGGGTGCCTTGGTGTGAGTAGGCTAAAAAGCTGTTTAATAAGGAGGAGCCTGGCTTTGCGGTTGGGATTGCCCGAGCACATACTCAGTTTCTGTGCAACTGTGGGGCACAGGCAGCAGCTGCAGCTAGAGGAATGAAGGGCAAAGTTCAAATTAAGACATAAACCAGACTGACCCAAGATTTTCAGTGCCTTTAAACTCCAGTGTGATTTCTCTTGTGTCCTATGAAAGTCTGCTGGGGCGGCTAGCCCTCCCACGGCCTCAAAGTGCTAAAATTGAGCAGTTAAATCTAAAGCCAAGAACCCTAGATGCTCCCTCCCACCTCCCCAACCCTTCTCCCCCCACATCTCAGCCCACCCATCTCCCTAAAGAAGAGACCCCCATGCATATTCTTGGCCTATATCATTATGAATTTTCTACAAATTAGAGACAGATCAGAAGAAAAGAGAGTGGAGGAGTGACGGGAAGGGCTTCAGGGGTGAATAGTGATATCAGTTCCTCCCCCCACCCCCACCCCCCACTAAAATTGAACACCTGTACAATGCAGTTCTGCTATGGTCTCAGTATAATGTCCACATGCACAGGCTTAAAGCTAAAAACCCTTTGTCATCTGAAGAATTAAAAAGTCCAAATGCAATGAGTTCTCTTTTTTTCTCCAATATAGATATATATCGGTGTCCTCAATTCAACCATTTACATAGGTAGGGATTTCTTTTGTGCTCTGGGGCTCAGCAGCTGTGGAAATACTTCCTGTGGCAAAGAGAGAACAACATAAGAGTCAGCAAATAATTATTGTGTTTTGTTGAAGATGTCTGAAGGTGAAACCTTGCTGGCCTTTGGGATTGAACGGCTCCAGACTGATATGTTCTTCTCACAAATGTTTTCTTGTCATTCAAAACACTGAAGGTGATGTACTGTTCTTTTGCTAATGAAGATGATTCACCCATGTAGAATAGAAGAGGGAGTGGCCAGAGCAGAGGGGTGGAGGGAAGGAGGGGCTGAGGTCCTCAGTGGAAAAGCATAACTCATTTGCAATTAGAAGGTATTAGAGATTTCATAAATAACCTTAAGTTTTGCCTTTGCAAAAGAAGAGCCTAAACTACTCACACCCAGAAAATAGGAACTGTGTTTTTTGCTGCCAGTGTTTGGAGAGAAAATTAAATCATCCAGGGACGTTCATTTACATTCCTCCAAGGAAGGGTGTCTGAACGTTAGTCAAACGAGTTGGAAAAAAAACTAGCTTCTGAACAAGCATATGAAGAGAAACACCCAATTGCAGTATTGTTTGGTTTTCCCCAAAGAAGGAAAACTCATTAAAAAAGAAATTGCTGATTTACAAAAACACATGAAGTAATTGTATACAAGTGTAAAGAGCCTTTGAACTTTATTCTATTCACATCTATGTCCAGACATTCTCATTTTGTCAGTGATCTCTGATTTAGTTTCCACATTTGTCTT